TCAAAAATAATTTGAAAGAAAATGTAAAAAAGCCCCTAGTACCTGAGAAAATGCAAACTCTAGGAACAAAGGAGACTGTTTCCAGTTCTTTGGTACCATAAAAGTATTGTTGTTGTTGTTATTGTTTGTCCTTCATTCTCGAAGAGGACCATGGCATCAGGAAGATGATGCCATGGTTTGCAAGTGAATTGGACTTAAGTGAGTCAGGGCTGTGTAAAGTCACTAGCTTCACTTTCTCCTCTGGAGACAACTGGGTCCAGTGGTAAAATATAGATCAGGTTGACTGGAGGTGGCTCCTGGTCAAGAGAACTGAGAGGTTAAATGAGGGTCACACAAATATTAATGGGATTTGAATCTACCTCTTGCTGGCTCCCAATCTAGCTTTCTACCCACCATATCATACTGCTTTTCTGTGGTTATTTTCAGCTCATCCTACTAAGATAATTTCCTAGACCAGGCAATTTCTTTCATAAATATTTATTTAAATGTAATATAAATATGATATATGATATTTAACTAAAATGTGAAATGCTTAAATAAATGTTTAAAGATCACCTGATATAAATATAATACATTTCATTAAATATAATGTTGAATGCTTTAAATAACTACAAATTGTCTGATGTAAATATATGATACTTACTTAAATACAATATTGAACACTTCAAATAAACACAGGAAAAGGCCTGATCTAGGAAAAGACAGGGACATAGGATGAAAATCTGGTCCATTATGTTTCTGTTTTTGTCCCTATACTAACAGGTTGGATCCCTTTCTTTTTTAAGACTTCTTTTAAATTCCTAACTGGAAGACCTCGGTCAGACTCAGACTCTTGAAGCAGATGATATACAGCACTTTCCTTCTAAAAGGATAAGAGAACAGATATGACATTAGAAGTCAATTTATGCTTAAACCATCAGATGATAGGGATGATGGCAGAACAAAGATCTGTAAGATTATATTAGTGCTTAAATTAAATAAAAAATCCAGAGGTCACATGCAGTCACAGGGTGTGGCTAGATTACTTGGGAAGGGTACTAATTGCAACATAAGGGACATACAAATATTCTTTTAGTAATCCAATTGAGAATAAAATAAAAGGTATGTGATCATCAACCTTTTGGTATCACTCCCCATGCCTCATGACAGGTTATCTATCGCTAAGGTATCAGTATTTGTTCTGGGAACTGTACGCCATCATTTTTTTTTACCCTGATATTTTAATCAGCTAAAGAAAGTTACTTACTCCCTTAGCAAGTTGCTTTGACTCTTAGGGACAGTGTGGGATATAGTGGTTAGAGGGTGGAACTTGGAGTCTTGAAGCCCTGGGTTCATGCCCTGCCTATGATACTTCCCATCTGTGTAGCCATAGCTTAAGTCATCTCACTTCTCTGTAGCTGTTTCTTCATCTGTAAAATGGCTATAATAATAGCTTTTATATCTACCTCAAAGGATTATTGTGTGACTCAAATAAGAGAGTGTATACAAAGTACTTTACAAATCTTAAAGTATTCTATAAATATTAGATATCACTATTAGTATCATATCATCTTTCTCATCTTTTTTTTTTATGATGTCCAGATACAAACAGTCCTGGGATAAGTTGCTATCCTATTATTATGATTCTTTTAAATTTAGTGTTCTATGGATAATTGGCTGGCTGGGTGGTTATAACTGCTTACTACAGTTGAACAAAAATATTGGGATATTCTAAAGAGCATATACTTTAGTAAAATCACCATATGATTTTGAACTCCTCAACCATACCTCTATAGCTTTGAAGCTTTTTGTTCCATGTAGCTTGGAGATTATGAGTACTTGGGATACTATTACAATTTTAAATGTTTTTAAGTTTTGATGAATTAATATTGCTCTGCCTGTCTCCTTCTGAATTTCCTTTCTCCCTCTGTATATTTTTTTTAAGAATGTTTCAATGTTGCTCTTCATTAAAAAAAATACTACCTCCTAATTTCTCCCTACAACTCATTATCCCCGAAATAAATGACGACTTATGAATAAGCACAGTCTAGTAACACAAACTCATACATTGGTCCAATCTGAAAATTTATGTCTCATTCTATACTTGTAGTTTGATGTCTTTCTCTCAAAGAGTGGGAAGCTTGCTTCACCATCAGTCTTCTGGAGCTGGGATTCATCATTGCATTGAGAAAAATTTTTAAGTCTTTCAAAGTTATTTTATTTCAGAATGTTACTGTGAATGTTTCAATTGTTCTCTTGGTTCTACTCACTTTACTCTGAATCAGTTCATCCAAGTCTTTGCACATTTCTCTGAATCCATTTCCTTTGTCATTGCTTATGGTATAATAATATCCCATTACATGCATAGACTATAATTTGTTCAACCATTCCCCAGTGGATGGGCATCCATTTTTAAAACTCCCTTGCTACAAAAATTGCTCCTATTATTTTGGGAGTACATGACTTAAAGCAGTATTTCTGGGTTAAAATTTATCCACATTTTAATGACTTCTGGAGCCTAGGTCTAAATTGTCTTTCAGAATGTTTGGACTACTTTGTAGGTCTACCAGCAGTGGAATAGTGTGCCTGTCCTCTCACAGACCTTCTAATAATTGCCACTTAACTTTTCTGTGTTATATCTATCAATCAGAATTGTTTTAATTTGCCTGTAGCTTAGCAGTGATTTGGGGCCATTTTTTTCCCTATATAACAACAATAAAAACACCTAACATTTGCACAATGCTTTGTTTCCAAAATGTTTTAAATATGCTATCTCACTTAATCCTCACAACTCCGTGGAGTAGGTACTATTGTTATTCTTATTTTACAAATGAGGAAACTGAGGCTGGAGAAGTTAAGTGACTTGCTCAGGGTCAAGTAGGAAATAAATGTTTGAATCAGGATTCAAACTCAGGTCTTCCTGACTCCAAGTTCAGAACTACATCCAGCTGTCCATCAGAAGACTACTGATAGTTTGCTTGCATTTCTTCTTTTGGAAATTACTTGTTTGTGTCTTTTGACTATTTGCCTATTGAATAATGGCTCTTGCATATCTATATCAGTATTGAAATTGATCTTTATCTAGATATCAATAGAAATATATTGATATATGTGTATGTACACAAATGTGTGTACATACACATATGGGTATATATGGGTATATAAACTCCCTATAAATCTTGCATATAAGAATCAAAGTAATTTGCCCTGATAAGGATCATTTTCTCAATTAACTGTTTCCTTCATAACTATTAATTTTATTTGTGTAAAAAATGTTTTAACTTTATGTAATCAGAATTGTACATTCTATCTCTTCTGATCACAAATGACAGAAGTAAGCAATTAGCAAATCTTAAATTATTGTGTAAATGCTAGTTATTATTATTATATTATTATTTTCCCATCTTTACTTGGTGAAGAACTCTCCCTCTATCTCTATCCGTATCTATGAAAAAGTATCTTCTTCTCTTCTCCTATAATTTATAATCTGAACTTTAATATCAAAGTCAGTCAGTCAACAATTATTAATCACTTGCCATTTGTCAAAAACTGTGCTAAGTGGTAGGGATACAAAAAAAGGCAAAAATAGTCCCTGCCTTCAAATAACTCACATCCTAATGTGGGAGACAACATTCAAATAGCTAAGTACATAACAGGTAATTGAGAGTAAACAGAAGGAATTGTTTCATTAGTTCATTATTGTTCAGTCACTTTCAGTTGTGTCCAGCAATGTGTGACTCCATTTGGGATTTTCTTGGCAAAGATACCGGAGTGGTTTGCCATTTCCTTCTCCAGCTTATTTTACAGATGAGGAAACTGTGGCAAACAAGGTTAAGTCATTTGCCCAGTGTCACACAGCTAGTAAGTGTTTGAGGCTGGATTTGAACTCAGGTCTTCCTGACCCGGCACTTTCTCCACTGCAGCACCATCTAGCACCTGTACAGAACTAGCTTCCCTCAGAAAACTTGAGAAGAAAGGGGCAACTAGGTGGTGTAGTGGATAAGCACAGCCCCTTACACTGACTAGCTGTGTGACCTTGGGTAAATTACTTACCCTGATTACTATATCCTGCCCCCCCCAACAAACAAACAAAAAAAATCAAAAACAAAAACAAAAAGTACAGAAGTGAATGATAAGAAAGTTCACTTAATGCTAAATGCTTATAAGAGGAAGTCCTACAAGCAAGTCAGTAAGGTTCACTGTATACCTCCTCTGTTTCTCAAACATCTGACAGGACTTCCTACCTTTTCTGTATCTGGTGTCCATTCAGCAGCCTCACCATCATCTGTTAGGAGCTCTCTTTTCTCCACTGTCTCTTATATTAATCTCCCCTCCCAAGTATTGCTAGTTTAGAGGAAATAAGAAATGCTCTAACCTATAGCCAAAGGCTTAGCTCCTTTCCCATCAAATGCTATACAAAGACCATCACAAATATTGAATAGCGAATAAATCCATATATCGAAGTCACTAGCAACCTGAAATGAAAGAAATTATATACAGCAGAATATAACATAATGCATAGTATGAATAAGCTCTCCCACTGGGAATGAGACAGATATCTCAGATCAACTAAGAAAGAGTTTCCAGTCTCACCCAAGGGAAAATTTTCCAAAATCTCTAATGTGGCAAGTTGTAAATATAGACATACTCAAGGTGTCAGTTCCTCTACATGTCAGCTTCTCCCCAGGGTATTTTTCTCCCTCTGAGTACCTCCAGAAGAGAGCCTGGAACCATACAGGGGTGTCTTCTCTAAAAGCTTGAAATCAAAAGAACTCTCCTTTCCCAAGCTCTTGCCAATTCCACTCCACATACAGATCTGGAACCCTGAGTAATCCTTCTTTCCACCAATAAGGAGACTCTTATGCAAATACCCAGACTTAAAAGAAACCAATTATATTGCAATGCAGTTACCAAAATATTTTTTGAAAAGTTCATGGGCACAGGTTAAGAATCTCTGTACACAGTTTGGGATACACAGATTCACAGGTAAGTATATACAACATACAAAATAAATACTCTAGGGGCATCAGAACAACTGGAGCATCAAAAAAGGCATCTCAACGTAGCTGACATTTGACCTGGAACTGGAAGGGAACTACTGGCCCAAGAAGCAGAGGTGAGGAGGAAGAGCATTCTATGCGTGAAGGACAGCCCCTGAAAAGACATGTAAGTAGAAGATAGAATGTCATATTTGAGGAACAGTGGGGTACGTTTGGGGAGCATGGAATGTGTAAGGGTAAATAATGTGTAATCAGGCTGGAAAGATAGGATGAGCACTTTTTAGAGTAGCAAAGAACTTGAGACAAAGTAGATGTCCATTAAAGGGAGAATGGCAAATGAATTATGATGCATAATTTTAATATGATATTATTGTGCCATAAAAATGAAAATTTTTTAAAAAGATGAGTATAAGGAATTTGAAGAAGTAGGGAATGACACGTGAATTGGTGTGGAATGAATTAAGCAGAACTAGAAAAAAATTACATGTTGTTTATGACAGTACAAATGGAAAGAATGTTTTTTTAAAAAAATATCAGGACACTGTGAAATTTTAATGAACAGGCTTGGCCCAAGAAAATACTAGAGAAAGTGTGCTTCCCTCTCTTTTTCTTTTCACTTGTAGAAGTGGGGGACTGTGCATATACAATACTGTATATTCCTTCAGAGTGAGTTGATATCTTGGTCAATTTTTGCTGAACTTTGTTTTCTTTTTGCTTGTTTCAAAGCATTTAACTCGGGGCAGCTAGGTGGCGCAGTGGATAGAGCACCAGCCCTGAATTCAGAAGGACCTGAGTTCAAATCTGGCCTCAGACACATAACACTTACTAGCTGTGTGACCCTGGGCAAGTCACTTAACCCCACTGCCTAGCCAAAACAAACAAACAAACAAAGCATTAACTCACTAGGTAGGGGAGTGATATATTTAGAAAATAATGTGATATAAAAATATTAATTTTTTTTAAAAATCTGGAACAAGACTGAGAAGAACTTTAAATACCAAACAGAATTGGGACTAGTGCTCTGGGGGGAGATGGGCATTTAGGGTCATCTGCAGAGGAATTATTGTTAAATCCATGGGAACTGATGAGTTCAGCTGAGAGAGTATGAAGAGAGAAGAAAGGAAGGTCAAGAACAAAAACCTGGGAAACTCAAAGTGGCCAAAACATGTATGTTGAACCTACCAATTTCATGACGATAAGTACAGGAACCATTCTTGTTCTCCACATTTCTAACCATTGCCACCTAAAAACATGCCTAAATCTCCTCCATTCTAAAAAAAACAAGATGAAACACTTTCATTTGACTGTGTCTTTTACTCAATTTATCATATATCTCTTCTCCTTTTCACAGGCAAGGGCCATCTACGCTCACTGCTTCCATTTCTTTGATTCCCACTCATGTCTTCTGAATTCCCCTATTTCTCTCAAGAGCTTCACTATTGTTGCAGTCACGACTTCTAAGGTAATCCTTGATCCCTTCTTCTCTCTCCTTCCATATATTCAATCACTTGTTGAGTCTCATAGATTCCCCTTTCATAATATCTCTCAAATCTACTCCATTCTTTATTAACATGAGCACCACTCCCATGAATTATTCCAATAGCCTCTTAATTGGTCTTCTAGCTTCAACTCTCTCCCCTTTTCCAATCTATTCTCTATCTAGCTGCCAAATTTATTTTTCCTAAAGCACACCTCTGATCACGTCACTTCCTTGCTTAATAAATTCTAGTGTCTCTCAATTGCCTCTAGGATCACACATAAACTCCTTCATTTGTCATTTTGAGCCTGCCATAGTCTAATTCTAATCTACCATTCTAGGCTCCCTTTCACACACTTCAGTCTATCCAAACCAGCCTATTTGCTGTTTCCCTAACATGGCATTCTATCCTGTCTCTTCTATTGGCTCTACCATCTGCCTAGAATGCACTTGCTCCTCACCTCCACCTCTTAAAATCCCTAGTTTTTTTCCAAAGGTGATCAGGGTTCATTATCATATCTGTGCTGACATCTCCACATAGTTATCCCATCAGCATCTCAAACTCAACACGTGCAAAGCAGAACTCACATTTTCCCACACATCCATCCCTTTTGTATACTTCTCTACTTCTCTTGAGGGCACCACCATCCTTCTAGTTAATGGTTCAAAATCTTGGACTTATCCTTGACCCTTCTCACTCCCTTACCCCCCCTCCCATATCTATCAGCTGTCAAATTCTGTTCTTCGATAATTCTACTTCCTTAATACTTCTCACATTTATCCCCTTTCCTTCATTCACATAGTCTCTGTCTTAGTTCAGGCCCTCATTACTTTTGAATGGGATTATTTCAACAGTTTCCTGATTGATTAGTGACCCCTCCAATTTCCAGGCCCTCTCATCTCTAATATTTGATGTAGCTGCCAAATTGATATTGCAAAACTATGTCACTCCATTACTAAAAACAAAAACAAAAACCACAACAGAAAAACTTCAGTGACACCATGTTATTACATTACTACTGATGATAATGAGTCATTTAACTTTTGTCTACCTCAGTTTCCTCAACTGTAAAATCGAGATCATAGCAGCACTAAATTCATAGCATTGTTGAAAGGATCACATGAGTTAATATTTGTAAAGTAAAAGTAAAGCACAGTGCCTGGCACATAGTAGATACTTAATAAATGCTTATTCCCTTCTCCCTTCTCTCTCCTTTCCCATATGTTCTCAACATTGTAAAGACTTTTATGAATGTAGGCATGTTCATTACTTCTCTTGATGCAATTCACATATCATTATTCTATAGAAGTGCTATAGCAGAATGTTGCTCTAAGACAGGGGTCTTTAAACTTTTTTTGGTATAATAGACCTCTTTGGCAGTCTGGTGAAGTTTACAGACTCTTTCTCAAAATAATATTTTAAAATATTTTAAGGAAATGTTAAATTTCAGTTAGAGGTCAGTGAAGATAAATATGTGATTTTTTTTCCCTCCATCCAAGTTCACAGACCCCTTAAATCTATCCAGGGACCCCAGATTAAGAACTCCTATTTTAAGGAGTTGACATGATGGAGAGAAAATATAGTGTGTAGTGAACTGAAATGTTTTATCCAGTAGTGTTATGAAGTTAACATGATATTATCAGAACCCTGGCCACTTCCTGAGAGGCCAAGAGTGGGAATGACTTTCTCACGGTAGAAACCTAGATCACATGACTGGACTTCCTCCTCATGTAGAACTATAGAATGAAAACTGAATTTCTGGTAAATGCTGAACAAGTCTTATATTTGTTTGGGGTGAGTTTGGTATCCTTGTGTACTCCTGAAAAGCTAAGGATGACTGCCAATGACTTTCCTAAACTTCTCTTGCTGTGTTTCAGGCCCTTAGGCTGACAGCCTGCCAAGCCAGACCACAGGGTGAAAGGGAAGGGCCCGTGGCACTATGGGCAAAACTTGGTGCCTGGGATTATTTGTCATAACACTGCAAGGCATATTCTGTGTTAATTTCCCATGGGAGAAGCCTGACTCTTGGTTTAAACATAGACTACACTTTTTCCTAAAGTGTGGCTTATTTAACTCCTGAACATGGTTTTTAATTGTTATTTGTCATTCATATATTCTTCCTTTCAAAGAGACTTCATTCCAGCCTATGTGCCAGGCTAGTGTATATTCAGACTAATGTGGTCTAATCTTCATTGACAATGAAACATGTGACACTGTGCCAGTCCATGGGAGCCAGCTCAAGTAATGTTTGAGTTGCTCCAATACACAGTATTGGAGTCTTCATATAAAATTTCTGTGTGTGTCTAAGGTTTTAACTTTTTAAATCTAAGAGAAATAAGTATAGAGTATATCACAAGAATCTAAATCACATTTCCTATTTTTCCTTTTTGGTTCAGAAAAACCCCCCCAACAATTTTATAATGGACATAGAACCATAATAGAATTAGAGCTGGAAAGATTTTCAGATATCATCAGTTCAACACCATCATATATGATGTATGAGTGAACTGAGACCCAGTTCAAGTTGGAGGTTGGGAGGAGATGAAACATTCACAAGTCATTGAACAGTTAACAAAGCGAAGTTTACTTTGCCCTAATGCAGCAATGATCTGAAATAAGAATATAGCGACACTTAGTTTTTCTGAATGTGGCTCCCTTCGTCTCCATATGGGAATGAATGTGGTTATCAGGGCAGGATAAGGTTACTCACATTGGCTTCAGAAATCTCCCAAGTCCTCATATTATAAATGAGGAAACTGAGTCTCAGGAAGAAGATATTTATCTAGTTCAATACTCCCATATATTTTAGAAGAGAAAACCAAGGGCTAAGAAAGCAAAATTACTTTTTTTCAGGTCAGAAGTGGGATTTGAACCTCATGCTCTGACTTCAGAGTTAGTGTTCTTTCCCTTAGAGTATAATGCCTCCATCATTAATTTTCCCCTACAAATAGACACTTTCCAACTTTGTCGTTTGCTTCTATCATTCCCATGGTGGATCAATGAAAGGGGATTCTTTGTACTTTTCTTGTCCGCCTCTTCAGGATTTTGGTATTGGAAAGCATACACTATCTGTTGATAGCCAGCCCTCTGTATGCCATGTGGGCAGTGACACCTCAGTGCCTAGGCAATAATTTTGTGCCTGTGCACTGATCTCTCCTCATATGACTTCTGAGGGTTTACCTCCACCCCCACAGCACTGTATGCTTGCTTTCTGTACAGGATTTGAAAAATTAAGTCAGGCTTAAAGCATTTGCTAATTACTAACTCCTCCCTTCCAGGTTGCTAGATGCCTCCTATCTATGAAGTAAATTTTTTGGCTCAGACCTTGGTTCATAGGCTAACCTTGAACTCATCTCCCTCCCTCTTCTTCCCCACCCCCAAATTAAAAATCTGAGAGCTTGTGGAAGTTGCCATGATTATGGTGCACCTTCATTGAAATGTCTCCAGTTGTAAATTCAATTCTAGTAATATGTCCAATTAATGGAAAGTGGGAACATCTGTTTACTACCACTATCTACTTTCATATACTTGAAAATTTTGTTTTCCATATGGAATCACCCAAATTTTATGCTTTCTTTACTTATTTTCTAACATTTTAACAAATTAGCTCTATGACTTTGGGCCAGTCCCTTTATACCTCTGGGCTTCAGTTTTGAGTTTTTTCATTTGTGAATATTGGGAAAGTAGCAGGGAGAAGAAAAACAGAAATGACCAATGATTCCCAACATTTGTGTGCCATGAACCCCTTTCAATAATTAAAAAATGTGATTGAATATGCTACTCATAATATTCTTTACAATTATGTACTGCTTGATGCACCATTAAAGAATTTTTAGTGCCAACCTCTTGGACTGTTACTATAAACCCTCAAGAAGTTCATCAGCCTCTAAACAGGAGCCAATGGTTCCCCACCCCTGTACTTTAGGAAGTCTTCTAAAGTCTCTTCTAGGTCTATTGGACCTTTTCAAGGTTCTCTAGATTTGTCTTACATTGTGGACCTTTATTCTAGATTCTTAGAGCCCCAATTCTTGATTAGACTACTGATTGGCTCTAAAGAGCTGAGCTAGGAGTAATGGGTAAAAATACTGCCTCACAATTAGAGCTATATATATATAGTAGAAGGGACTGCTTCAGAAGATATTGGGCTCCTTGCCACTGAAAGTCAACCAATCAATCAACAAACATTTATTAAGCACCTGCTATATGCCAGTAATTGTGGTAGGTACCAGGGTGCAAAGACAAAAATTAAATAATCTCTGCCTTGGAGGAGCTTTTGGGGGAGACAACACATCTGTAGGAATGTGCAAAATGCACGCAATAAATTCAAGGTAATTTGAGGGAAAAGATAGTAGCCACTGGTATGGATTAAGAAAGGCCTCACGTGGAAGGTGAACTCAAGTCAACAAGCACATGCAAAATGCCTACTATGTGCCAAACACCAGTTGGTTCTCGACCTGAGTTTTGAGGGAAACTAAGTCTTAAAGAAAGACTGACTGCTCCTCACTTGTATTGTACATTCTTGATCAGCTGTGCCTTGGGCCGGATGTGTTGTGAGGGCCCTTCCAACTTTAAAATGTGACTGATGAACCTAAGAATTCCCTTATTCCACATTGCTATTTATTTGTGTTGGGACATGTTCTTTTACAACAGCACTACTCAATACTTTGTTGTTGTGTCACTGCAGTCATGTCCAACTCTTTGTGACCTCATATGAGGTTTTCTTGACAAAGATACTGAAGTGGTTTGCCATTTCTTTCTCCAGCTCATTTCACAGATGAGGAAACTGAGGCAAACTGGGTTAAGTGATGCCTAGAGTCATACAGCTAGTCATGATCTGAGGCCAGATTTGAACTCAGGAAGAGCGGTCTTTATGACTTTAGGCCAGACACTCTATCCACTATAGTGCCACCTAGCTACTCCTACTCAATTATTTACTTATATTTAGCTTAGTTCAAGTACCATGTTCTACATCAGAGGTATTAAATACACATACCACGGGCCACGCAATACCGGTTGGCTTCTCATTCTGGTGGCACAGAAGGCACAGCTCATTAGGGTTATCATAGTGCCCCCAAATCCATCTGCAAAAGTGATATCCCCCTCCTTTCCCCAAAACCCTCCCTAGGAATTGTCCAACTTCTTCCAAATAATCACAGACACAAAAGACATTTCACCCTTAACAAGGAGTGCTTCAGGCCCTCAGCAACTCATCCCAGGTGAGTAGTTAGGCCTACAGGGATGCCTATTTTGTCTGTTATTCCTCCTTATACAGATGTGTTCTTTCACACTTATGCTGGGAGTATGAATGAATAGCTTTGAACTTGAAATCAGCTGAATTAAAGAGTAACTTGACCTTGGGTACAAAATCACAGGTTTAGAGCCACAAATGAAGCTGTATGTCCTCTGGTCCAACACCCTTACTTAATAGATAAAGAACTATTGACCATGAGGTGGAGTAACTTGCCCCAGGTCGTACAGAGCCCTAATTTGAACCTAAGACTTCTGACTCCAAATCTAGCGCTCACTTCCCTATACTATGCAGCCTCTGTACTTTGTTTTCTTTCTCTCCTTGGCCTTCCTCTTACTTTTATACCTCAAAAACACACTATACCATCACGATGGGGTAGTCTCACCCCTAACTCCCCATGAGCACAGATTGGGAACCCTTCACCCTTTAGTGATGGCCTTCTTGAGTTGCTGTGGCCAAACAAATCTTTAAGTGATAGACAATTTTGGGGGGACAATTTAGCTAGGCCACTCCTCAGAAAATAGTCCATGCCTAGGCCTATACCGTAAGCATTTTTATCTTAAGCCGTCTCAAAACAAGTGTATTATCCTTTATGCCTAAATCCCTTCCTTCTTCTGACTTCACTGTTTCTATGGCACCACCATGCTATACTTGGTCTCCAATGTTAATAGTCTTGAATTCATCTCTTTTCTCTTTTCTTTTCCTCTCCTCTCCCCTCCTCTCCCCTCCTCCCCTCCCCTCCCCTCCCTCCCCTCCCTCCTCTCCCTCCCTCCCCTCCCCCTCCCCTCCCTCCCTCCCTCCCTCCCCTCCCCTCCCCTCCCTCCCTCCTTCCCTCCTCTCCCTTCCCTTCCCTTCCCTTCCTTCCCTTCCCTTCCCTTCCTTCCTTCCCTTCCTTCCCTTCCCTTCCTTCCTTCTCTTCTCTTCTCTTCTCTTCTCTCTCTCTCTCTCTCTCTCTCTCTCTCTCTCTCTCTCTCTCTCTCTCTCTCTCTCTCCCCTCTACCCCCTATCTGGTTACTTAATCCTAGCTATGACATATCCTGAATACCTCTTGTATCTATTTTCTCCTCTCTGTTTCCATTACCACTATCCTGGCATATTCTTTCATTATCAGCTATCTGATAATCACAGTCCAAGCCTAATAACCTGCTCTTGTTAAATGCTAGTCACATTTTATTGAAATTGTGAATCTAAACTACCAGATGGGTCTCAGTCCAGCCTGGCCCAGAAACAGGCTGGGAAAACTGAGTCTGAGAAGTTAAATGCTTTGACTAGAGTCATGTGGTTAGTAAATGTCAATGCTAGGACTCAAGTCCAAGTTCTCCAGTGGCAGGATTGGTAGTATTTACACTCAACCATATCTCTTCTTTATTTCTTTTAAGAAAAATAGAATGACACACATCTTCATTCCATAATCTTATTAGAAATGGGTTAATTAGGCAAAGTCATATTTATCTTAGTAACAAATATATTGTGTTAACTTTAAAACCATTCAAAAATATTTATATATAGTGTTTTCCCTCTCCAATCAGAGAAGAATTTTGGGCTGGTGCTTTCATTCAATAAAGCTCTACTTTGATTGATTATCAAATAGTACAAAGCAGAACCTTTACTGTCCCTCCCATGCAGAAGAGATTTATTCTGCTTATTACCTTCAAAGTCGACATCTCCTACTAATTTTGTCCTTCCTGTTACAGGGTCATGGATATGGTTGATACCCACATCAATTACAGCAGCACCTTCTTTCACCATATCTGAGGTAATCATCTTTGGAATACCTGCAATAAAAATACACAGTTGCAAAAATAAAGCTAATTTAGGCTTTGTTTTCAATTAAAATAGAAAGTGCTTTTGATGTATGTTTTTTTTTAATTCATAGAATATGATGCTTTAAATAGCTGTTCCAATAAAAGGAGATTTAATGTATAGGTTACTTTTCATGGTGGTAAATTGAACTGGTGAAGTAAATTTTAATGAAAAAACTTTGGTAATACTCAAAGTGGTAGCATAACACTCTAAAGCATAAACACAATTTAATTTATAGCCTAGAAAGGAGCATCTTTATGGTATAGTCTTTGTAGGGAGGCATGCCCCTCTTTGTAGAATTGGGGCATTCCTAAAAAGCTGACTACAATGAAAACTATGTTTTCTTTACATTTCTATCAAAGTTTTGTCCCCGAATGCAAGTGTTCTATAAAACAGGGCAATTTCCCAGATATTTTTCTAACTTAATTATGGGAAATACCAGCAGCATTCTACAGAGAGTACAATTTCCCATATACTTTTCTAATCTTTTTATAGAAAATGGCAGTGGTATAAACCTTGCTTTCCAGGGTGACTTGGCAGACAAGCTGGGATGAGAAGGTAGGAGGTATGGTTGTTGTCATGGCTGAGGGTCCAAAGAGGCATAGTTTCACCACTGTGGAAGTCACTACCCATCCTATCCTTCCCCAACTTTGCCAAGTTAGCACCTTTGTCTACTTGTCCCATGGAGGCATGGAAGATGTATGTGTGTAAGTATGCAATGGGGTCAAGTTGGGGTACATTCAGAAATGAGTCAAAGCCTCTCAGATGCATAATTCAGGTATGCATCCCAACATAGCTCAAGGTTTTCAATACCAATTTCTAATCTGCTTGGCTATTTTCCTTAGCTTCCTTTATTTCTCATCACCATTTTTGTATCTGTCCCTAAAATAGTAAGTGATCACTTTTCTACTTCCTAAAAAAGACCATTATTTACCAGAGATCACCAAAAACGTAAAGTACTGGCCTGTCCAACATTTCATAAATTCAGTTGATGGAACAGAAGTCATCATAGAGTAGGCTTTGTTTACATTATCCCACTTTAGGTGCCAAGTAAACCTTCCAGTACAAATGACTATAATACAGCAAAACACACACACACACACACACACACACACACACACACACACACACACACGACATTTTATTTTCTTCATTGTCAAATGAGGATAATAATCATAGTATCTTGGAATTAGAGCTGGAAGGGACCCTGGAGGTCATTGAGTTCAACCCCTACATTTCCCATTTTACAGATAAGGAAACTGAGGCTCAAAAATGTACAGCAACTTGTTTAGGGCCATGGAGCCAATAAATGAAATATTAGGGATGGGATTTGAAGCCAGTTATTCCTGCTGTAATTCTAACTCTCTATCCACTGCACTACCTCCTATACCTATCTCACAGAGCTTTTGTGAGGAGACTGCTTTGTAACCCCAACCCTAACCCTAATTCCATTTCTAACTTTAACCCAAAGCCTAAAAGTGAGCTGTTAACTGGAATGGTGGAAAGCTGCCTGCCGGATGGTGTCTCACTGTCCACATGTGCCAATGGGTGAATGAGTAAAGGCTCATCTAAGGACGCGTCACATCCCCCAAGAAAACAGTGCCTAACCATCATAAACATCTGCTCCCCTGCCACACTGACTCCTGTTGTAGAGCCAGTAATCAAATCAATACTACCTTTGTTATGGGAAACAGCATGGGAGGACTTCCTGCCAAGATGGACAACAACAATTAATAATAATAACAACAATAAATTATATATTGTTTTATGATTTGCAAAGTGATTTAGAAATATTATTTCATTTTTTCCTCACAACAACCTTGGAAGGTAGATACTATTATTATCCTCACTTTACAGATGAAGAAATTGAGGCAGATAAAGGTTAAGTGACTTGCTCAACAACACACATCTAGTAAATGAAAGAAGTAGGATGTGAACTCAGGGCTTCCTGAATCCAAGTCAAGCATTCTTATCTACTGTATCACCTAGTTACTTCTGTAACAGGAGATAGAGCTCCAAATTCCCACATACCTACCCCAGAAAAAATCTGAAGTTCACACAAGAGTGAATGACAATCAAGAAATTGAATGAGAAGCTATAACGACTTCTTCCATCCTAAAACTGCACAAAATGTCAGCTGGGAACCCTTCCAGCAAAGCCAGCACCAGTACAGTAACCTGCCAGCATGGCCAGAGATGGTCAGGGATGTATCTCACAATGTCCTGTAGCAGCAAGAGAGAAGAAAAACCCAAGTTGAGGACCTTGGAAGCACCAGTCAATGGCAGTAACTAGCAAATAGCCCGCACAGTGCCAACTAGTGTGGTACTGGCGCCACAGTATTCAAACCAGGTCAACCAAGGCCTAGAAGATCAATATAAAATCCTCTCATTGCCCTTTAAAGCCCTGGTCCTTCCTACCTTCCAGTCTTCTTACACCTCACTCTCCTCTATGCACTCTGGGATCCAAGGACATTGGGCTCCTTGCTGTTCCTTAAAAGACACTATCTCCTGACACCAGGTATTTTTACTGCCTGCCCCTCCATGCCTGGAATGCTCTTCCTCCTCAACTCCACCTCCCAGATTCCCTGGCTTCCTTTATGTCTCAGCTACAGTCCCACCTTCTGCAAATAAGCCTTTCTCAATCCTCCTTAATTTTAGTGCCTTCCTTATGAGGTCATCTCCAATTTATCCTGCATACAGCTCATTCTTCTAGAGGCTGCACTCCAGACTTTCTCTACCATGGCCTTGCACCTCTCATGTTGTCTTCCCATATTAGAATGTAAGTTCCTTGAAGGTAGAGATTTTTATTTCTCCAGTATTTGTATTTCTAGTGCTTAGCACAGAGACTGGAATATAGTAAGAGCTTAATACATGCTTGTTGACTGGCTAACTATAGCTAGGTCACGATTAAATCAAGTTTGAACAATGCAAAATATGATTTAGTGGAAATCATAAAATAATACCAGGTTGCATTGAACGTGAGCCAAAATCTAATTGATGTGATACTTGTGAGCTCATTGAAGGTGGGTCTGCACTTTCCTATTGTTATATGTGGATGCCATGTGCTGCTGCAGCTGTTTTGTTTATCCTTTGATCTTGAAGAGGACCATGACATCAGGAAGGTGATGTCATGACTTGCGAGCTAATTAATTGGATTTAAGTGAGGCAGGGCGTGCAGTCACCAACCTCACTCCCTCCTCCAGAGTCATCTGAGTCCAGTAGCAAGATATAGATCAGGATGACTAGAGATGGCCCTGGATGCAATGGGAGACCTTGGCCTTTTTAAGCTAAGGTCTTTTCCAGGTCTCAGTTAGTTTGAGGCTATGCCCATTCAATGATTAAAGCTAGGTAAAAAATGAGGCAAAGAATGGCCTTTTTCACCTAGACAAAAAAAAATATCAATCTGGGAGGGGAAGATCCTCAGGTTTTCTGGCCAAAATGGAAATATTTACACTTACTCAGAGCCATCAGAGCCGAAATAATGACCACATGAGGCTTGGCATGGGACCTATTGTTGGCCAATCAATGAGATCCAGAATGATTTGGGTTTAAAGCATGAGCCTTATGAAAGAAATCTAGCCCATAAACCCCAAGATATCTTTTGCGGTTTTAGTGATCAAAATTTATATTCCTTTGGGCAGAGTACCCTCAGGTAAGGGTATGATTCCTTTAGGTAGAGGTAAGGTAGGAACAAGAAGAGTAGTATAAGATAAGGCTCGAGAGGTGTGTCAGAAAGTCAAGCTGAAGATCTCCATACCATCATAAAAGAGACCTTAATGAAATGGACAAAACAAAGGATAATTCATATGGAAGCATTGCCAGCTCAAAAAATAAGAGACTGGTTATTATATTAGTACAAAGATTATATGCTGTAACTGAACAGTATTAACATGGTCATAGTAACTCTAAGACAGCATGAGCTGTCAGAAAGCCTGAAGCTATTACATGGAACATTATAAAATGAGCGGGTGAAATACAAAGCTGTTGACTTAAGAATGAAATAAAAATATATTTCTCTTAGCATGGCAACCATTGAGACTAAATCTTTTAAGTTTATCAGTGAAAGATGAAGTAAATAGGGAAGAAACCTTTACTGGAAGAGCTGCTTGGTTGCATAACTTTAAAATCGAGTTCACTTGTATAACGTTAAAATTTTTGGAGATGCAGCTAAATACCCCAATGCTTTGAAAAAAAATAATAAAAAAGGTGAATACACTGACCAACAAATTTTAATGGAGATGAAATGGATTTATTCTGGGTAAGGATACATTCCAAAATTTACTTTTCTAAGGAAAAAACTCAACTTGGATTTACAGTGTTTAAGGATCATCCAACACTTTTATTGGGGATGCTAAATGGAATTTTAAATCAATGCTTGTTTCTTAGTCCTGAAGACCTTATGCTCTAAGAATCTACAATTATTTCCAGTTCTTTGGTGGTCAAATTACAAAGCATGGGTGACTAAAGCTGTTTTTAGAGGCTGTTTTTTCAACTATTTTAGTGCAGCTGTTGAAAACTATTGCAAGGCTCAACAACCTCACATTTAAATTATTTCTGATTTTAGATAATTCTCCAAGTTATCTAACTATATTTTATTTGTTATGTGACCATATAAATTTGCCAATAAGACATTAAAACTTTCTGCATCTACCAGTAGATGTATGAAGATTTAAAGAAAGAGGAGACAGTTTAGCATATGCTGCTAAAATATTTAAAAAAATAACAGCATTTCCAACATACCATCAGTGTAGGCTTATCTTTATTGCAATATTCAGTCTTCTTGAAAGTTTGCTTTCTACACTTATTCTATTTCTTTGTAAGAAACTTGAATCAGAAACGGATTTTTCTTATTCTTTGTCATTATATTACACGTAAAAACAGATATAAACTTTTAAAAAGTTTCCATTGTGTATTTCATTGGGCTGGAACTGATTACTATTTTTTACGTATAACTATAACTAATGCTCCTTGTT